TACAGTAAATTAATACCTATATCACACCAAACAAAATAACTGAAAAAAGTTTGAAAATGTCCGTATAGGACGAAACTGCAGTAACGTTAATTACAAATAAAAGTGGTAAAAACATAGAAATTTTCATTTCTCTTTTCATTACTTCCAGAGTTCTTTCTCTTGTTATTCTCATCCAAGAGACGAGCCTTCACAAATTCCAAAGATAACTATGATTGATCAATAGTTTCCAAAGTAGCCACAACAGCTTTAAATGATTTATGTAAACTTAGTAACAAATAACATAACCAGAACGCTCTGTTCCATTTGTGCATGATCCTGACGTCCTAGGATCTGAATTTCGTAGAACCAGAACAAACCTAATATATTCTAGATGTTCATCGGATATATGGTTGATTTTGATAGCTTTACACTTTTTTTCTAGTTTACCCAAGGCCAGTTTTTCCTCTGGTGTTTCCCATTGGTAATGATCGCTAAATCTTTTCCATGAATAATTTCAAGTCGTACTGATCAAAGATTGCTTCCATTCTAAATTTCCAGCTACTGAAATTTGTTCCATCTAATAAACATATTCTATACTTTTCCGCCTCCATTTTGTTTAACTTCCAATTGTGTCCTGTCGGTCACATAGAGCTTTTAGAAAATTACTTCTTGGCCGATATTAACAATTCCAACTGTGCAGGGTATTAACTGGGCCCATAACCTGTTATATGTACATGAAATGGAGAACGTTATAATTCAAATAAACGACAAAATACCACAGTGCCTTTTTACATCACTACTAATACATAACGACATTGTCTCATATGACATAGAACATAAAACCCATAGAACATAGAACTATAAAACAACTTTCTGTCCAAATAAAAGCTTAAGTTATTGTAATAATTATTTTTACTATTATTATTATCGTCAATGATAAAATCGAAATGGATGGATGATTTTAATCTACCATATTTACGAAAGACGACAAAGTGTGTCTGTAGTCTTTAAAAATAACTCGCTAAACCGATATATAAGGTTGTTCTTGAGAAAGTGCTAATTTGAAAGGTTTTTTTGCTTTTGAGTAAAAAATTTAATGATATATTAGGTTGTTTCAAAAGTTTTTCCGTTGTTATGAGTCTTCTTCAAACTGTAATATCTCGTTGAACTTATTTAATTCATTTCAATTGGTGTACTTTTGACTATGTAACACAAGTCGATTAATTTTGTCAGCATGGAAATTGTGTGCCCGGGATTCCATGAAGTTAACGAAGGCCGTTTTTGACTGGTCCTGATTGGGGAAGGTTCTATCAGTAGGAAATTTATTGAAGTGCTTGATGGTAGTCGGTTGGCGAGAGGTATGGAGAGTATGTTGGCTGGGACAAAACTTCGATACCCAATTCGTTTAATTTTCTGACGATGATTTGTAAAACGTGCGGACGGGCGTTATCGTGGAGCAGAATCAGATCTCTTTCGTACAAGAGGGACTCTGCTGTGATGGTTTGGCCTGGTTGCAAAAAGTTATTGTGAATCACACCAGCTACTGAGCAACATCAGTAACCATGGTCCTTTTTTGGTGGGTGTTCGCCTTTGGGAAGTGCCTGGGTGGCTCATCGGTGTCCAACCACTGTCCTGAACATGTTCTGTTGTCGTAGAGGATTAGACCTCGAAATTAGACAATTTCGGACGATCAGTTGAATCATAGGGCATCCACTTTTTGAACTTAAAGACGCCCAGTTTTTCTGTCATCCCACGAACCGTTTTAGATGTCTCAGTCTCCGCCAGGGTCCACAAATCCTCGTCCTGGATCACTGAAGGTCGACCACTTCGAGGCTCATCTACGAGGCTAAAATCTCCAGAACGAAATTTCACAAACCAACGTCGAATAGTACGTTTCTCAGTAGTATCATTGCCAAATGTCTGGTTAATTTTGATGGCTGTTTCGGCAGTGCTTTTGGTTCAATTGAGTATGTTTTTTAAAGTGGAAAGGAATGAGTAATGATAGCTCGGTTCGGCTTGACTGGATTTTGCTAGGAGCTCGGCTCGATTTCGAGACGAAATTCAAAAGTGGAGCCGTGTCGAAGCTTTTTGAAATCGAGCCGAGCCGATGTCAAGTCAAAGCTACACCCTTATTAACAACGTTGCATTTCAAAAGAATTCCACTGTATTGGTACGCTTTTTGGTGTGTTTCTTATTCATTTTTAGAAAAAAATTCGGAGGATCTTTTGACTAGTGGCCATATCTTCCACATTCTTCTATTTTAGATTCGTAATGAGTGATTTTTTTCCTGGTATCTTTTTGGCAATACTGTTTTTGACAGAACACGCGTGAATCGTGTCTTTTATCATTGTCAAACTTGTTCAGTTTCGTCTATAATTTAACCATAAATCGACTTGCGAATGAACAACGCTTGCAAATTATTGAATTTTATTATCAAAATTCATGCTCGGTGAAGAAAGTGCATCGTGCACTTCTTCCAATTTATGGCAGTTTCGTCGGCCTGCTGATGGTGCTATTGGGAAGCCTGTGACTAAATTTCGAACCCGATTTACATTATTGGAAATTAAACCACCAACACGCATACGTAAAGTGAGGAACGAAGAAAATATTGCGACTGTATCCGCCAGTGTTCGATTCGCCACCGTTAGCAGCAATTAGACCTCTGTTATTCCACTACGTGGAAAATTTTGCGAAAGGATTTAGGTGTGAAACCTTATAAGATACAGGTGCAAGAATTGAAGCCACACGACCTCCCACAACGTCTAACATTTGGTGAATGGGCGCTGGCAAAGTTGAAGACCAGCCACAAGGCTTGCAAGAGCTACCGATGCATCCCAAAAAAGTCACTGTTTGGTGTGGATTATGGGTCGGTGGCTTCATCGGGCCGTACTTTCCCAAAGACGACAATGGCCGGAACGCGAGCGCTACCGTGTGATGATTGACTACTTTTTGTTGCACAAAATGGAAGAATTGGACTTCTTGAATTTGTTACAGCAAACGGTCTCACGTTTGCGGAAAGATAAAAGTTTCACGCTTTGAAAGTTCGTCTCGGAGTTTTATCTTGGCTCTTAAGGAACTACTTTCCAGGATTCGCTGAACAGTAATTGGATAAGTAGTTACTGAAACTTGAATAGTTGGATTGTGACTATTATCAGAAGCTTGAACAACCTATTATATCTCTTGGGGGTTATTGTTAGAAGTTTCCTCCGGTGTATTATTTAAATTCACTGAGTCTCTACTGAAACCTCTCCAATTCGAACTTTTATATTTTCTCAAAGATAGATTATTGTTCTTTAATTATCTACGAATTGAAGTGAAGATAGTTTTTCTGGTTCATTCGTTGTGAAAACACCTGAAATAACTATAGCTATTAGCTAGCTCGCGTGGACTTGTTTTACCAAAATTTTCTAACAGCAAAAATTTCTCATGTATTTGCTTTGCTCATGTATCTTCAAATTATAAAAAAAATATTTCATAAACTATAAATGTATGCAACCAACGTTTCGGTCAAATCAACTGTAATATTCAATTCCGACAAAAAAAAATTGTTCGTGAATCGATTGAAATGAATCAAATACTGAATGAACTGAAAGTAAACTAACTACAAAGCATTATTATGTTATTGTAATTTTTTTTTCCACCGTAGTGTGCGCTAGTCAGGCCCAACCCCCTGAAGCCCCGATACATTCGGGAGGGAGCGCCAACATTATCAACCAATGACCACTCCCCACACCGTGGGGCAGCCTTCTGCAGCTATGCGGCTAAAATTTCTGCCTTAGTGCGGCAAGCCGGTATGATTTTAAGATTCGAGAGTAGACAGGATACCATTCCACCAAAGACTCCAATAATCAGAACAACCATCTTGACAGAGTGATCTGGATAGAGTCTGCGGAGTTCGAAGAGAAAATCTCGATATTTGATCCGTTTTTTCTCCTCTTTTCTGACAATATTCGTCTCGCCAGGAGCTGAAAAGTCCACGACAAATATCGTTTTGCTCTGGTGGTCGAGCAGGACTACATCAGGCTTATCAGCTTGTATGAGCCTGAATGTGGGGAACGAATAGTTTCAATAAATTNAGATGTCTCCCAGCGACCTGTCCACCTTCCTGGAAAGGACAGGATGGACGACGACCTAGGAGGACAACTCCTCGGGAGGATGTACAATGGGTCACATGTGGCTTAAGTGCGTGGGCTTACACTCACCCTCCCTACTCTACAGATACAGAAGCCATGCGGCGTTCAAAATCTCCTGGTCTGAGTTAATGAATTCTTCTGGTCCCGTATGGCTGAAATTAGTGTTTTTTAAAATACTCCTCACGTTAGTTCTTGGTAGGCAAATTTCGCGTTGACGTTTTGAGATTATTTTCCACAGCTCCTAAAACGACTATTTCTTCCAACTCCTTATCCCTATTTGATTCATATAATTTTGGCATTTTCTTTTCAAACCACCATCAATTAGGTTGTGTCGCAATCTTGCGAAAATGTATTCTCTCTCTGGACACCTCTCGTGCTTGCTGCTTCTGAATATCCCTTTTTTCATAATTCTCAAACTTCATTGCTAATGTGTTTGAAAATTGAACAAAAACCACTATTTGAAGAGCGTCTTCACTGCTTAAATCAAAAATTGACAGCTACCAGTAAAGCACCATCAAGTGTGCTACATTTTTGGAAAAGAAATTTTAAACTCTACTTTTTTCATAGAAACAAGAAATTTTCGACAGTAAAAAAGTTACAGCAACTTTTCGAAAATGCAGCACATTTTCGAAAAACATGCTGTAACTCAGAAACTATGATAGATATCGATATGCGGTTTTCACCATTGAGTTTGTCATAAAATTTGAAGACAGGAGTTTCCCTTCAATAGTTTCCGATTTGATCCAATCAGTACGTAGGCTACAAAATTTGAACATTTACCTTATTTTTTGAACATACCTCGTATGATGTGACCTTGATCTCAAGGTCAAAATCAGCTCGATATATTCTTCCGCTCAAACATATAATCAGGAAACTTTTCTTTTGCAGTACACCCAGCTATGATCATGCTCCTAATCCGGATAAACAGTGGATTCTGAAAATCACCAAGAACATGGAACCCATACACAAACAGTTTACCGACCTGTTGATGACCAAGAGACTGCAAACCTTACAGTCTGTTGATTCAGCCGTTCAAAGAGTTGTGGAAGAACTAGAGTATCTAGGAGAGCTGGAAAACACTTACATCGTTTATACCTCAGATCACGGATATCATTTGGGACAATTTGGATTGATCAAGGTAGGTACAATAATTCATTTAGGTAAACTTAAGATCTGTTGATGAGTATTGTTCTCCTTGTTCACATATTCAACTATTATTAGTGTTTTCTAAATTACTGGTTATGAAGTTTGATGGTAAAATTTCGGATAGCCTACAAACTCTTTTTTTTAACTTTGGGTGTACTTACTTATTTTGACGTGTAGATTACGGATCCAAAAATAAAAATCGACGCGCTCTCTCTTATTTCCAGAGGTACAGCTCTCCAAAGTTCCGAGAATTGCAACTTTTCAGCCTTCTTTTTACACAAAAAAAAATATAGAAAAACACGAGTATTTGTTCACCATATCACCTTATTTCACCTTCTTCGACACTAATCAGTTTAATAATCAATATTTCCTGTAAAAAACTGTATTCAACAATGTATTCGTTTTCTGGTTACATACCTTCATTTTAAGGTTATTTACTAGTGACATTTCAGAAAAAAACGGTTGGTAACTGTTACCGCTTGCTATTCGAAATTCGTAAGATTTGAATGTCCATTTTAACGTTAACGATTTATAGAATCCGCAATCATGATTTTAGTCATAGAGAGAAGTAAATTTTCTTGTTTTCTTCGAGTTGGAGTTTTTGCGGCGATAATACGTTGTACCAATTGCAGTGAAGAATGCAAATTGAATTATAATAGTTTGCTGTACAGGTGTAATAAAACGAAAAGTTAAGGTATTGAAGAAAAAAATTCAAAATCATCAGTTGTCCTTTTACTGAAACTTCCAGAAAGAACACGTTTTTTAAATGCCGCCTAACATTCGGAGGGGTAATAATATTCATTGCGTTTTTTATCCACATGCCTAAATAAAGTTCACAATGAATGAATCGAAAATGGGCTCAGAAGTGACTGATTAGAGGTGATGCTGCAGAGAAGTAAAATATCTGTTTTCTGTTGAACTGATGTGTATTACATACTATATCATCTTAGGTGTGTTTGAACTGGCGTGATAATATTTTTACAAATTGGGTGGTGAAGGCAAAATAATTGAAATTGACGTAGCTGAATTTGTAAAAAAATATATAATAGAGGACGAGTGGTAGACTTTATGGTATACATCGAGGTATCAAAAAAGTTTCTATGGTCTCAGTTCCTGACAGGACTTATTCGAATTATGAAAGTTAATATCGAACTTGGAACCACCAGGAATATCCAATTGTTGGGAAGCCTAATTACTAGTTAGCTGTGAGAACATTGTGCAAAAAGAAGGCTGAAAAGTTGTAATTTTTTTAACTTTGGAGAACTGTAACTCAAGAAATAATGGAGATCACCGATTTTTTCTTTTGGATTCGTAATCCACACGTGAAAATACGTAAGTACACCCAAACATTTTTTCAAAATGGTAGGGTGCAGCCTATCCGAATTTTTACCGCGTTGGGAAGGAATAATTATGCAATATCTACTGTCATATGCGACAAATTATGTCTGTCTCTTTTCATTTCAAAAGTTAAAAAGCAACAAGCTGATTTTTTTCACAAGCGACATAAGAAATAGCAAAGGACATTTGATAACCAGGCCCCGGTAATGCGGTTTTCATGATACTTTTTTTGTTTCAATCATTATTATTACAGCTTTTTATGTTTTCAGGGTAAAAGCTTTCCCTTTGAGTTTGATGTCCGGGTGCCTTTTCTAGTGAGAGGTCCCGGTGTCGAACCAGGAAGCATTGTCAATGAAATAGTTTTGAACATAGACCTGGCACCGACATTTTTAGATATGGCTGGTGTGGAACCACCTCCGCATATGGACGGCAAATCGGTACTACCTCTGTTTCTGAATTCCAAAAGGAAGCGACTCCGTTGGCCTGATACATTCTTGATTGAGAGGTAATTTATTTCTAATAATGTAAATTAACTGATTTTCAACTCTCCCATGAACAAGGCAGTTCCATGTGTTTTTGTTTTTCCTTCCATTTTGTCATGACCTTCATTCCAAAAATCTTTTTGCTAGTACTAGTTTGTACAAGTCCTTCACATTCTTCTGCACCTAACTTAGGTTGTAGAGTAGTAGACCGTACTTTAATCTGCAGAAATGTTATGACAAGAACTTCAAGAATTAGAAAGACCGTTTTAATAGAGTGGTCCAGGTAGATTCCGCAGAATTCGAAGAGAAAATCTCGATATTTCATCAGTTTTTCTCCTGGTTTCGGACGATATTCGCCTCACTCGGAGCTGAAATCTCCACAATGTATTTCATCCTACTTTAATGATCGAAGAAGACTATATCAGGCTTATTAGCCTTTCTGCCTGAATATAGAGAGTAAATAGTTTCAATAAATTCGGCACTTTTTATTCCCCAAAACGAATTCAATATCTTCCGGGACATAAGGCAGTACCGGTGTCTTGTTAACACCGTAAAAATGCCAAAGGGAGTAAAAAGGGGGAACAGTAGGAATATTACTATCAGCGACTCTGTTTTTCCCCCACAATTCCGATGACTTGATCTGCCGGAGTTTGTTCTGATACTTGCCGCGGAAAAAGTTCTACACGTAAATATACGTCTCTCGAGAATCCAGATCCTTTCGTTTACTATATTAAATCAACATATATCGCGATTAATTATTCCTTCAATATTCAATTTCTTGAACCCTGTTTGAAGTTTATTTCATCTATTCCAGTTCCGGTCGCCGCGAAATTCCAAACAGCAATAAACCAAACAAAATCAGTGCTGCTATCCAAGAAACCACTACTTATGCTTCCACAGAAGGGTACAACAATTCCTTTTATTCTAATACTTCCACTTCTTGGACCACTCAAACCACAGAGTCTCACATCGAAGCAAGAATCTACGAATCAGGTGAGGATCTTAACTTAGATTCCGTTACTGAAGAGGAAGACGATGACGACGACGAAGAACAAATTGTCGACGAAATAGAAGTATTTGATTTAGACGAAGGAGATCTGGAGGAAAAAACCAACATAGATAATATTGGATTAGCTGTTACTAATATGGGTGAAGGTACTAACTGTTCGCCTGACGCCAATAGATAATGAACAATAACTTTTAACATTTTTAGGTGATATGCAGATGGATAACAGGCTTCTACCGGTGTTGCCCCCTTCTAAACTCGAGAGGCTAGCCGTGGAGTGTTTGATGGACGAGATGAAGTTGCCATGTACTCCCGGACAGAAGTGGTACTGCGAAAACGATGGTGGAAGATGGAGGAAACACAAATGCAAGTCGATCGTTAGGAGTACTATTCCGTATCCTTCTAGTAAGGCGTACAGGAAGTGTGCTTGTTTCACGCCAAACGGAATCGTGTACAGAAAATTGCCGGTGAGTCATTTTGAATGCCAACAGTATGTTTCGTTTTCTTAATCAAGCTTCCATTTCAAAGAAAGAAATATGGTTAAAGTAGCAACGTCATTATCAACTATAAAGAATTACTTGTTGGCTGTTTATTCAGGTATTTTCAGATACAAATAGGTGTTTCATATTACCATTTGAAGATTTACATATCATTGCATCAGTCTACTTTTATTCAGACGTGCTTACCGACTTTGTCAATAGATGGAGCTTAGTTACTTTAATATCAGAAATGGATTTTGTTCCAGTCAAAGTTCTTTAATGACTTTCCAAGTCATCTGGACGACCTATCTTATACTAATGAGGAGCCAATACCTTGACTGAATGGAATTAAAGAATTTCCCAAACAAAAAACAAGCTCACGAGCATACCTGTTTGACGTCACTCTACATTGTCGGACCAGTGGTGGTTCGTTCACCTGCTCGCCTTGTTAGCTTTACCATGGGCGTAACAATACTATGTATTTTCACATATTTTTGCCTTTTTAACTAATCATTATTTCAATTATAGGAAATTGTGTTCAGTTTCATCTTCAAAATTCTTCATTTGGCTAAATGCCGTTCAAGCATGTATTATTTTGTTTTAAATACTCATGATTTATTTAATGGAATATACTATATACTGTTTGTTTCTCAGATAATCACTCTTTTTTACAGTTACAAAATATGACTAGGAGAGACTACAATCGATTCAGAAGAGACGTTCAGTTGTTGGAAGAAGACATATTTGAGAACGAAAATGATAGAACTCTAACAAGAAGAGAGAGGAGAGCACATTTACGTCATCTTGAAAGTGCTATGGAAGACTTTGAGGATCAGATCAGCGGACTGAAAGTAAGTTACCAACTGTTCGACAAAAGGAAAAAACACAATCCATCTTGAAATTGATTTTTCTTTTATAATTCAGGAGTCGATTTTTCAAAAAAAAAATTCTTTCATCTCGTTTCAGCTGGAAAACGACACTGACTCATCAACTTCACTAAGATCCAATTTAGACACAAACAGAATCTCGAATCCTGCCTGCTCTTTGGAACAAGGCAAAATAATTTGTTCAAGAGTAATATATAGGGACAAAAAAATATGGCTCCGATCTCGTCATAGAATCGAAAACGAAATCCAGGATTTAAAAACAAAATTGGAAGCCTTAAAAGAGATTCGAAGACACTTGAAAAACAGTAGACCGCAAGAAGGTGTCTCAACATTGAACGGTTCCGAACTCAACTCATTCAACGATCTGAGTTACCATCACCATCCTCTGTCCATTGGGACAGTTGACGGTAGAGATCCTAGCTTACTCAGGCCCATTCCTTTCGATAACGTCGGTAGAAATAGCAAAAGGAAGAGAAAAAGGCCTACTAAGGTAACTACAGAGTCCGACGTAAATGTTACGGAGATGGAAAGTAGTACCTTTTCTTCAGTGGTGCCATCGGAGTTGTTTAATGGTACTACTGCGTCTCCGCCTTTGTTTACAAACCATCATAGACACGGGCATAGGATGCATTCCACTCCTCCGAGTCTCCCGAATTTTTCCACCATTGCACCACGTGCAACATCTACCAGAAGTAGGAAAATTGTTTCTGTGCAAAAGGTAAAAACAATTTAGAAGTTTATAAGTTGCAATAATTCTCAGGGAATAAAAATGTTTTTACAAGCTTTATATTAGCCATATATGCATATATGTATATATGTTTGTTTGTAACTCTCCTTTCCATTTCATATCGGGATCTGTATTTAACAGTATTATCGACATTATTGCTTGATCTGTTCGCGGGCAGATGGCGCTGTATGTAACCTCCTTGATATATTGACATTATTGCTTGATCTATTCGCGGGCAGATGGCGCTGAACGTAACATCCTTGTTATAATTCGAACTGACTTTACACGTATTTCTTCATTTGAAAAAAATATTTTTTTTTTTATTAACACGCGCGACTGCTGCCTTATTTGTAACCCTCCTTTGCACGCCTGCTGTCTTGGCTTGGTAGCTTATTTTCAGGCTCCCACTCCGGAATCGGAAAATATCAATGGTCATTTTTTTAAACAATATATGGCTAATTGATCCGAAAGCTTAGATAATAATAATAATAATATCGTTTATTATGCATAAAAATACATTTATACATAAAAGGAAAAGGGTTAGCCAAAGGCTATCTTCCACCCCTCCCAAAATTATGCAGCGAGTATAAGAAAATAATTATAAACATACTTATTTACTATTATAACAATAATAGAGAATAGAAAAAATCAATACATCAAATAGTTGCTAATAACTCTTAATATTCTTAACATTATTTTGGTCAATTTAACAATTTCATTGCACTACCATACATTGAATTTTTAATTTTTTAAATTAGCACTGGGCAGCAAGCATCTGTGATTTCATTTCTAAGAAAAACATCCTTGAAATTTGGAAGTACTGTGCCTAGGTATGTTGAATGAGTTGATTCTCAAATTGACCATATGTACGTCAGAATGCCTGCTTAATAAACTATATAAATAACTAGGTGTTTTAGTTTGAAGCAACTTAAACAAAAACATTTTTATCAAATATTGGACTCTGTACCTCACATTCAGCTCCTTCATTTTCAACAAAAATGAGGTGACATGTTCACCATATGATATACAGCATACGAATCGCATGCAAGCATTTTGTATCCGTTGTAACTTCTGTTTGTTATATTGCGGCAAAAAATTGTGATACACCGAGCAACAATACTCGATATGGGGGTAAATAAGAGTTTTAACTAACCTGAGTTTCATTTCTTCTGATAACTGATACTTGAATTTATATAGCGATTCGAGTTTGAAGAATGATTCTTTGAAAATGTTCGTCACATGTTCATGGAAAGACAAAGAGCTATCTATGGTTACGCCAAGATTTTTAACACTGTCCACCCAGTCAATGTCTGCGTTATCGAGAGTGAGCCTAAAGCTACACTGACTTTCTCCTATTTGTCTTTGAGACCCTATGCATAAGGTCAAAGTTTTATTTGGATTGATTTTCAGTCCATGATTCTCCGAGTATAGGAATGTTTTGTGCGAATCTGAATTAATTTTATATCTACTTACACGTCTACAAAGTTTTTGAATGTTCTGTATATATTTATTTCACCCTTTTGTTAACCTTATACTCATTAGTAATTAGTAATTAGTTATAAAAATGTATTCACACCACGTACAAGCAACACCTGTTGCTTCTGTGGGTTTCCCAATGTTTATTTGTAAAATGTATAGCCTTATTATGCTTGCTGTTTTTCTTTTTATGTAAATAAACGATGATGATGATGAAATATCAATTTCACTCCCCACTCGTAGCAATGGAGTTCATCTATCCTGTCCATTCGATCGATTTACGAATCTCATCCATTGAAGTCAATTGGGAATTATTAAATTCTGGATCGACGAAGTTTCGTAAATGTAGTTAAACATACTTTCGAGTTGAGTGGTATGTTTCTGCTAACATTTTACAATGCAAGGGAGAGCGCCCTTCATTACACTTCAGCAGATTCTATTATAACTTGGCACAATTTTTCAGATTATGAAGCAGATAACTTGTAAAAGTCCTTTTCCATATCTGGAAATATTTCAAGCAATACTGTTGATTTGCTTGATATCTAATGAAATAAGAGTTCACTGTGAATAGTCTTAGTAGAATGTGTTATTTCCATAATTTTTGTGATCTCCCTGATACATGTTATAAATATTTCAGCCTTCCCGATCTGACGATATGATTCCTCTTCCAAAAAGAAAGAAGAGGAAAAATTTTTGTCACTGCGAGGTTATGGATCCTCAGATAACCGACGTCCGGGATATAGCCAGAGAAGAAAAACGCCGAATAAGAGAAGAACGACTTCGGAAGAAGCTGCGCAAACAAAAGAAAAAAGATCAGATGGAAAAAGAGTGCTGCCACGAGAAAATGAACTGCTTTCACCACGACAACGATCATTGGAGAACTGCGCCACAGTGGACTGCGGGGCCTTTCTGTTTCTGCATGAACGCAAACAACAACACTTACTCCTGCATCAGGACGATCAATTCAACGCACAACTTCCTATATTGCGAGTTCACTACTGGATTCGTGACATATTACAATCTGAGGATAGGTAATTGTTGGAAATATGTAAATTTTCACTGTAAAATTTTATTTCACTTCTGAAGAATCTGAAGTTGAATCTTGTCACTAAATATAATTGAATGATATACACTTTGAAAGAATTCACTTTTAACTTGACATTTTCAATAAAACTGAATTGAAATTAAATTATTATACATGGCGACATATTATATTATGCGCGAGAAAAAGTTATTATTTAGTTTAACAATAACCTCACTCGACTATAGACTTAACAGGAATGATTTAATTACCTTACAAAAAACTAAACTGCACCATATTCATGATTTTTGTTAGGTACTCGGTAAATATCAAGAAACATCAAAAGAAAGAAAATCGGCGATTATCATCAAAAATAATCTTTATAAGGGAATGTGTAGATCATTCACATAACTTTCTATCAATTTTCAAGTGACAATTTCTAAAAATCGACCTATCTACAATAATTTCTATCTCAATTTGTATACCATGCGGCNGTAGGTACAATAATTCATTTAGGTAAACTTAAGATCTGTTGATGAGTATTGTTCTCCTTGTCCACATATTCAACTATTATTAGTGTTTTCTAAATTACTGGTTATGAAGTTTGATGGTAAAATTTCGGATAGCCTACAAACTCTTTTTTTTAACTTTGGGTGTACTTACTTATTTTGACGTGTAGATTACGGATCCAAAAATAAAAATCGACGTGCTCTCTCTTATTTCCAGAGGTACAGCTCTCCAAAGTTCCGAAAATTATAACTTTTCAGCCTTCTTTTTACACAAAAAAAAATATAGAAAAACACGAGTATTTGTTCACCATATCACCTTATTTCACCTTCTTTGATACTAATCAGTTCATTAATCAATATTTCCTGTAAAAAACTGTATTCAACAATGTATTCGTTTTCTGGTTACATACCTTCATTTTAAGGTTATTTACTAGTGACATTTCAGAAAAAAACGGTTGGTAACTGTTACCGCTTGCTATTCGAAATTCGTAAGATTTGAATGTCCATTTTAACGTTAACGATTTATAGAATCCGCAATCATGATTTTAGTCATAGAGAGAAGTAAATTTTCTTGTTTTCTTCGAGTTGGAGTTTTTGCGGCGATAATACGTTGTACCAATTGCAGTGAAGAATGCAAATTGAATTATAATAGTTTGCTGTACAGGTGTAATAAAACGAAAAGTTAAGGTATTGAAGAAAAAAATTCAAAATCATCAGTTGTACTTTTACTGAAATTGACAGAAAGAACACGTTTTTTAAATGCCGCCTAACATTAGGAGGGGTAATAATATTCATTGCGTTTTTTATCCACATGCCTAAATAAAGTTCACAATGAATGAATCGAAAATGGGCTCAGAAGTGACTGATTAGAGGTGATGCTGCAGAGAAGTAAAATATCTGTTTTCTGTTGAACTGATGTGTATTACATACTATATCATCTCAGGTGTGTTTGAACTGGCGTGAGAATATTTTTACAAATTGGGTGGTGAAGGCAAAATAATTGAAATTGACGTAGCTGAATTTGTAAAAAAATATATAATAGAGGACGAGTGGTAGACTTTATGGTATACATCGAGGTATCAAAAAAGTTTCTATGGTCTCAGTTCCTGACAGGACTTATTCGAATTATGAAAGTTAATATCGAACTTGGAACCACCAGGAATATCCAATTGTTGGGAAGCCTAATTACTAGTTAGCTGTGAGAGTGTGGAGGGAATTTTGACACAGTATAATCATTCCCAGTTTCGGATATAAAAAAGAACATGTCACTATAGCTACTTTCACTATAGCTACTTGGCAGAATATTCATTCAAACTAAACTTTCCACTTGATACACGTTTTCGTAGTTGAATGGAAGTTCAAATCATCATAAATTTTGGTGTAAAAAGCAGCTACTTGATTACCTCCTTCTTTTGGCAAAACCATTTACCTCTTCTGACCAATAATTATACAGGGTTTTCATTGTTTTATTGTAGGTAGTTATAGTTTATTTCGCGGTATATAATCCAATGTTAATTTATTCTTTATGTTCGTGTCATCTTGGCTTAAACATCAGGTTGGAGCCTGGCTCCCTTATCCTTTGGACTGATGAATTTATTCCTTAAATCCATTTTTCGCTTAATAGAGCGTCAAAAAACAATTGAAGATGTCCAAAATGAAGTCGTAAACATTTCATTTGAATATGAAATGTTGATAGTAATTAGTGAAGACAAATATGACGTTAACCTCAAAAACGTGAAATGGAAAGATTTACCACCAAAAAGCAGTTCCGTATAATAATGAAGTTTTTGTAGAATGTTGTGAATAAACACTTGTTTTTCTACAGTTTGCATTGTGCAAAAAGAAGGCTGAAAAGTTGTAATTTTTTTAACTTTGGAGAACTGTAACTCAAGAAATTACTCAGATTTAAATGTAATCTAGTTAGTTTTGAAAATGGTGTTATGACCGAAACTAGTCAACAAATATATAACTATCGTGGAAAATAGACAAAAGTGTATCCTCAGAGAATGAAGTAACACAGATATCGTTCCTTGGAACACTCTACAGTCAAACTAGACCCTGGGCAAAACCAAACCCAACAAATACATGATACCACACAGCACCATAGGCTCTGATTTAATTTAGTTGCCTTGCAGTGAAAGCTGCAGAGAAAGACAGAAAACAATTCCTCGTAGAGCAATCGCTGTCACCCTCTACGAACTACAGCCCTCAGAAGTCGAAACTTGTGCGAGCTGAGGGTTAACGGGATCTCACATTTTGTTATGCGTTTCCTAGAACTGGTTGGGCGGCAAGCTGTGACTATCGATCGTAGGACTTGAACCACTGTTTCACATAGCGTAGCATAGGTTAAGTGGTAGAACTAACCTGTAGTGTTCTACACTGCAGTTTTGAACTTCGCCTTTTGGATGTTATATTGTATTTCACCCAATAAAGACCATTATTATTATTATTAATTGAATGAGTAGAATAAACCACTCACGTCAATCCAACCGGCTACCGTTTATATATCGTTTATATTGGAAAAAAGGTTTCAGTTTTCTGTTGATCCCATTGGAGGTGGCTTGGAAAGGGATAGTTTATATATCTTAGACCCAATGTTTTGAGTTAAAATAGTTCCTGAAATTGTTGATAATGAATATATGATCGAGTTCAATGAACTAACACAAAATTTCTAGCCTTCATCTGCATTGTTTTTTCATCATGAAAAAATATGGTTGAATGGAAACATGAATCACAGAAGTGACTAGAAAAAAAAACAAAAATATACATATTCGGAAGGCTTATAAAAAGTTTTATATCACAAAAAATGCATTTCCTAACGTTAGCCTTTTCAGCATTTGAAAATATGGCTGAATTAATATTCATTATCAGCATCCTTTAATGGTGGAAATGACATCCTCAAATATTATCAAACATTGTTTAGGCGACATACAAAAACATATACAGTGTGTAACAACGAAAACTTAACAGAGCCGTTTTTGAATATAAAAAGTAAGATTTTTAAAAAAGCTCGGACACGTCGATTTTTAATTAAAGGAGGACACCTTTCAGACTAATCAGATTTTTTGTAGTACGCAACCCCTTGGAGGGGTGCGTCCGACGACCCTTATTTAGATAGGGAAAGTAGGTCGAGTGGCACCTTGTTTCAAAGGTCTTTCGAATACCTTTACATCTCTGTTAAAAGAAAATTTTTGTAACGATTAGTTTTCGAGATAATTTGAAGATTTAAAGGTATTTTTATTGAGTTCAACTCTTTTTAAAATAAATCAAATTGTTTTTAAGGTACAATTCCCGTTCACNTTTTTTTTTATTTAGGCATACAAGTTACCGAGTGGCCTGTCTAATGTATTATTAATATGGCAATTTTAACTTCAAATTATCTCGAAAACTAATCTTTACAAAAATTTTTTTTCAACAGAGATGTAAAGGTACTCGAAAGACCTTTTAAACAAGGTGCCACTCGACCTACTTTCCCTATCATATAAATAAAGGTCGTCGGACGCACCCCTCCGAAGGGGTGCGTACTACAAAAAATCTGATTAGACTGAAAGGTGTCCCCCGTTAATTAGAAATCCACGTGTCTGAGCTTTTTTTAAAAATCTTACTTTTCATATTCAAAAACGGCTCTGTTAAATTTTCGTTGTTACACACTCTATTTAATCTGAGCTGGTGTGGTTGAATGGATCTCAACATACCAAATGTTTCTTCTTCTACTTCAGAGATTATTGATAAATTCAATATTTTCTCTTCTTTTCATGAAAGTACTAGTAAATAATAAATACATTTTGTCTTATTTTCTTCTTTTTTTTTTCAGATCCTTTCGAACTTCAGAATAGAGTCAACATGTTGAAAGAAAATGAAAAGTCTTATCTTCACAACCTGTTGGCCCAGCTAATGGCTTGCAAAGGAAAGTCTTGTACAGTTGGGCACTATCAAAAGCTGAGGAGTAGTGTAAATGCAGTACCCTTGCACTCTGTTTTACCCCAAACCTATAAAAAAAAGAGATTATCAGAAAAAGGTAAGACGAGTTCTATATTCAAGTTTTATAGTTCAGAGTTGGGAAAACAGCATTTGCTGTTTATATATGAAAAATATATAGTATAGTATGTAGAGTAATATTTCATACTTATTCCGACTTTTCTGCTACTATATCCTTTGAGAACATGCAAGTCCACAGAAAGGCTTTATTGGGCCAAGTTGAGTTATTATAATAAATATAAAATAGTGCTCAGGTTTCTTAGAACACATGAGACATTATCACTTGGAAGTATGATTTAAGAAGTTGGGTGAAATAAAATTAAAAAATTCAATGATTAAATCAATATCTGAAACAGTCACCGAAGTCTTCCTGTATTTTCCAATAAGGGTGTTCATACTAATGACTTATGTTCAATAAATAATTTTCATCTCATGTTCCAGAACAGTTTTATTTCTAGAATCTAGCAGTAAAAGATACAAATAATTATCTCTCTCTATTTTCTATGGCCGTTGCTTCCTGTGTGATGCATTTGGCCAATTCTCCTCCTGTATACGGAGGAGAGGAGATACGGTATGTATCTTCCTTAGTGTTGCAGCTTCGTCTTTGGTTACAGATTGTATTGCTTTGTGCAATATCTGTAACCTATTTTGCTTCTTCTTTTTCTTCATTTGTTTATTTTTTAAACTTGCTCTCGTATTTTTTTCAACCTTCCTATATTTGTGTTTGCTCACCGGAATTTAGGTTTATAAATTAGGAGTGTTTGAGGTTTAATGGATTGTTTTCTTTAATTCAATGACGTTCTCGTTATTATGTAATTTAATCTTTATACTTTACTTTATACTTTTTTGTCAAAAGATTAATGCATCTGATAGACAAGAGTTTTATAAGTATTGTAACAATGGCAATACATGAAATAAAATGAATCAAGAATTATAAAAGTAAACAAAGGAAATGACATTTCCTCTTACAATTCTCTATGGGATTGACAGAGAACTCAATCTTGGAATATCAAAGTCTCGTTTATATTTGATATTCGAGGATTGAGTTCTCTGTCGATTTCATAGATGGCGTATTTTTAAGGGGAGATGTTCGCTCTTTTTTTCAGGCTCATTTTCGAAGGACAGTTGAGTTCAGTCAGTAATGCATTTGAGGTTCAGCCTAGCACCACTGATGAGACATATGGCGGGTTGAAAATGTGCTGTCTGTTGTTGGATCATAAATGCATTGTGTTTGGACTTTGTGTTTGAATTTATAAACAAAGTTATCGCCTTTTCTGGAATCTCACAGTACACACTGAATGAAATTCAAAATGAAGAATTCTGAATTCTTCAAAACTATGGAGTTCATGATTAGGTAAAAATTCTCTTACCGACTCCAGAAAACTGCTCGCTACCTCAGTATCTCTTATATCTTGGGAAAGTCTATCAAACATTTTCACTGATCTGTATATGGTGTCCCGTTTGTACAGTTTTTGTATAGACAACTTTTTCTGTTTTTGTAAAACCGAAATATTAATTTGCATCATCTCTCAAACAGTAATATCTTTTGTAACCCTATTTTTTATATTAGTTGCTAGGGCCCTCCCATTAGTTCAAGAGCGTTCGTATAGAAACGATTTTTTACAAAGCAGTAATAAGTAAGTAGTAACTTAGAGCATGGTACAGCACCTAAAAATAACTTTCGCATTTGTTGCCTAGCTGGAATCATCGTTTCTACATCATTTAGTGATGACACGCTTATAGAAACTATTAGAGCAAATATCTTATCGAAAATTCCCATAATATGCTTTTCATATGTCAGTTATTGTGTTTATACATCTCTTAGGGTAAATCTTTTGTAAATAAAATACATCCATCATTTCCTGAAACGAAAAATATGTGGCAAATCACTGAAAATAACTTGTTTCCACACATTATGCACCTGCTTTGCTTTAAAAGTCTAAGATAACCTTTATATTCTTTAATTTGCAAAACTTTTCCTTCACAAAATGAATGTTCAACCTAGAATCTTTGAGAATGTGTATGTAACCATTTTTTCAAATTTGTGGTTACCCCCTTTTGATGATAATGATTAGTAGCTCAAACCCGCTTCAGTTTCAACTCAGAAGAAGATTCTGTTCGCATCATGTTCTTTTTTGAAGCAACGAATAAAATATATATTGATTATCCTGTCTCAATAAATTTCAACTAAACCACAAAAATTACATATTCATGACTTTATGTCGAATGAAACTAGTAATATCCTTTTCTATATAGTTTTGTTACAGCATAAGTACATAGTAATGTCAGAAACCTACATAGTAATGTCAGAAACCTACTTCTCTTTTTCAAGTAATATGAATTTCTGGATAGAAATTATTCTTTCTTCTCTTTTTCATTGTCGTTTCATTTAAGTTGATTGTTGAAATTTATTCAAACTGGATAATTATTATATTGCCAATTTAAAAAAATTATTTGAAGCTTTTTTTTCAAGATATCAATCATTTTCAGACCTTGGCGTCGTAGAAAAACTTGGGAGTCCCCATACAACCAGGCAAGACACAAAAGGAAGAGACAACATTACATCAACGACGAGAGCAGCGTTAAAAAGAGTTGGTATTAGAAAAAGACGAAAAACGTGAGAAATTCTTCAATAAAAAAACGACTGAAAATATTGGTTAATTTAGCACACATTTTAAAGGAATTGTGATCTCTAATTTATTAACAAATTGTAATAATTTAATATTTTTAGGAGCTTAGTGCTTTCCATGTATGTGTAAAAATAATTTAATATGTACAGATACCAAAAATTAAAGAGTCGAAAGATGTGTTTCACTCGTTTTCACCCTATTATTGAATGATACGTAACATTGCCAAAATCGCTATATCGCATAATCCACTCTTACCTAGAATTTTCGCCAAAATTTATATAGTGACTTTTGCAATGACACTCCATGAATATGTTTCAAAAAACAAAATTGCACTCTGGTGTTCCGAAAATAGAAATTGCATTCAAGACTTCCGAAAGTGGAAATTGCATTCCAGTGTTCTGAAGATCAAAATTGCCTTCGAGTGCTCCGTCAATGAAAGTTGCATTCGTGCGTTTCGAAAACCAAAATTGGATTCGAGGACACCAAAAATGAAAGTTGCATTCGCGATCGTAGAAAAGGGATAGTGCATTCGAGTGTTCCAAAAGTTGAAATTTCATTCGAGTGCTACAAAAAATGAAAATTGAATGTATGTGTTCCGAAAACAAAAATTACATTCAAGACCTCCAAAAAAGGAAGTTGCATATGAGTATTCTGAAAACCAAAATTGCTTTCGAGTGTTACAAAAACAAAAATGGCATTCGAGTACTCCAAAACGAAAATTGCATTACAGTGCTGCGAAAAGAAAAATTGCATTCGGGTGTTTCTAAAATAGAAACTTAATTGAAGACTTCCGAAAATGGAAATTGTATTCCAGGGCTGCGAAGATCAAAAATGCATACTGAAGATTAAAATTGCATTCGAGTGCTGAGTCAATGAAAGTTGCATTCGTGCGTTCCGAAAACCAAAATTGGATTCGAGGACACCGAAAATGAAAGTTGCATTCGCGAGCGTAGAAAAAGGATAGTGCATTCGAGTATTCCAAAAGTTGAAATTTCATTCGAGTGCTACAAAAAATGAAAATTGAATGTATGTGTTTCGAAAACAAAAATTACATTCAAGATCTCCGAAAAAGGAAGTTGCATATGAGTATTCTGAAAACCGAAATTGCTTTCGAGTGTTACAAAAACAAAAATGGCATTCGAGTACCTCAAAACGAAAATTGCATTACAGTGCTGCAAAAAAAAATTGCATTCGGGTGTTTCTAAAATAGAAACTTAATTGAAGACTTCCGAAAATGGAAATTGTATTCCAGGGCTGCGAAGATCAAAAATGCATTCGAGTGTCCTGAAAAGAAAATTGCATTCAAGCGTTTCGAAAACATACACTGCATTCGGGACTACCAAAATGGAAATTGCATTTGTTTTCTGAAAACAAAAATTACATGTTCCGAAAATAAAAAATAACATTCGAGACTTCCGAAGAGGGAAATTACATGAGTGTTCCAGAAACAAAAATTGCATTCGAGTGTTCCAAAATGCAAAAATTGCACATTCGTGCGTTCCAATATCAAATATTGGATACGGGGGCACCGAAAATGAAATTTGCATTCGCGAGCGTAGAAAAAGGATATTGCATTCGAGTGTTCCGAAAATTAAAATTTCATTCGATTGCTTCAAAAAATGTAAATTGAATTTTTGTGTTCCGCAAACAAAAATCACATTCAGGACTTCCGAAAAAGGAAGTTGCGTATAAGTATTCAGAAAACAAAAATTGCATTCGTGTGTTCTGAAAACGAAAATTACATGCGAGATTTCCGAAAATGGAATTCGAATCGTTTTCAAATTGAAGGGGGTATATTTTTGAGAAATAATTTTTTTGGAAAAGGTAAGTTTTGCCGTTCTACTTCTTTAAACAGAAAAAAAATGGGAATCTTCCGAGGAAAGGAAGAAAGCAATGAATTCCAAAATAAACTTTAATTACAATGTTCCATGTGAGTGAAATTTCATCTCCTTTATATAATACATTCTGTAGCAATTCTGTGAATATCTGATTCAATTCCATAACAAATGTATGGGGTACAAACTGTATAGGAAAAAGTATTTTTTTTATGATTCAATGTTCATATGGAACTAGTTTCGAAAGTATTTTGTCTTTCTTATAATTCGATGTTTATATAAAAGTAGTTGTTTCGAGAGGTCTTTCTCTTCCAGATTTGTATCGGAAAGTTAGTTCTTTCCATGATCTACACATGTTTGCAAAGAGTTTATTTTGGAATTAATTGCTTTCTTCTTTTCTTTGGAAGATTCCCAAATTTGTTTTGTATAAAGATGGAGAAGCTCAAAGCCAAAACTTTTCTTTCCCAGGAATTCAATTGTTCCGGAAATGAAATTGCATTTGTGTGTTTCGAAAATGAACGTTGCATTCGAATGCTTCGAAAACGAAAGTTACACTCGAGAGCTTTGAAAACAATTACTTTTTAGGGCACTGAAAATGAAAATTGTAATCTAGTGCTACAGAAACAAAAAATACCATCGAGAGTTCCTAAAACAAAAAAAATGCGTTCGAGTATTCCAAGTCAAATGTTATTGGAGTGCTCAAAAATTGTAAACGCGAAAAAAAAACAAACCGATGAAATACTTTTAATAATTTCATATAAGAGTGTATTAATTTGTATTAATAAAATTATGTCTATAAATCATAGTTCCATGGAATACAAATCACACCGTCGGATAACACAGAGTAATAAGTGGCTATATTCAAACGTAAACCAGGTGTCAATCGCTCTATTTCAGATTGATCGTTCAATAACTTTGTACAACATTTTATCATCAGATCTGGAGTCACATTGTCATCTTTCAATAGTACAGACAGTTGAAGTTTTTCCAAACATTGCTTTGTTAAAGCACGTTCTAAATGCTTGTCACTGAAATTAAAAATTCAATCAAGGTTCATATAAACAAATATATGAAAGGTAATTGATTACTTTTGATATTCCCTGTTTCTCTGACTGGCGAGGTGCAAATTCTTTGTGATGAAATTGACTAGTAATTCACCTGGTATTGAAGAAGGAACTATAAACTGCCCTGTTGGTGAAACCATTAAAGGACCAGCCTCACTGAAAATGAGATGTATCAACATGAAAACTCATGGTCGGATCTTGTTTTGCGCTACATTGGTGAGTCACTGGACGGACTTCAAATTCCAGATACTTCGACATGGAAGGAATCCATGTTACATTTTTCATCAATGACGAGAGTTATTTTAAAACAACATTTTGGGGTAAAACAAGTTATATACTTACGTTTCAACTACCATTTCATAATCTTTCAGAGTATCTGGCCACTCTTTTGGAAATGACCTGCAGCCTCTGAAATCGCTAAGAGATGTGGTGATTTGCTTCAAGTTTTGTTCGTATGTACCAGCCATGATTTTTGGCATAAACTTTCTAAAATGGAAAAACATGTTTGAAAATATGAATACCAATCAAAAATTGAACCAAGAAACTATGTTTTGACTCCTCAAACTATTAACATGCAATGATTACATCATCAAAGGTTTTTTACGTGGAGGGTCAAGAAAAGCAAATATATCTGGGAGTATTTTGCGGTTAAAACAAACAAAAACTATATGTTGTTTTCTTTCAGAATAGTTAAATTTTTTGGTAAATATTGATATTCCATAACTGTATGACTCTTTTTGTTACACGATGCGACTTTTCACCAAAGAAGTTGAGGTCATCAGATGATCTATTGGTTAGTGAAAAGTTTATCAAGAAAAGTGTGAAAAGTTTTGGTTGGATTTATTCTAGGCTATATGTACCAATTCTATCTTTCATTTATTAATACATTCAAGGAATTAACAAAAAAATACCTTCTTCCAACTTTAATATTTCTTAGTACATGAGAAAGTGACTTCTCAAAAGCTGGAATCCTGGTTAATGCCTTATCATACTTTGCAATATTTTTTATGAACTGGAAAAAACAATAACTTTATATTTCCCTTATGAAATTTCAAACAAATAATTACATCTAACCAATTGTGCCGGACTTCTCCACTGTACAACATCACATGACCTTCGAGACTTATACCAGTGAAGTATGAAAACACCAAAATTCTACCTGTAATAAAGAAAAATAATCATCCAGTGTAATGGTAATGATTCCATCAAAAATATTAGTTCAGTATTTGTTTTTTGCAGAAAAGAGCCGTTAGGTATCTATCCAAAATTAAATCCAGGGATCACTGTAAACCACTCTTTGTAAAAAATGAAATTTTAACTGGAAAAACATATTTATCCTGAAGAAAATTTGCTCAATATTTGTATTTGTTGTATTATTCTCAGTAGGTATGTTCTTTTTTCAATATATGTGTTACATTTCTTGGGATTAACAGATTTAAATAAGCAATGTAAAAAATCTAATATGACAGTTGAAAGTGAATATAACACATCAAAACAGTATCGTACTATTGCAACAATCAAGAAAGACAGTATCCAAAAATTGTCTCTTTTTAATGAATATCTCTACTCTTGATCATGAGATTTAGTAGTTTTTACTTAAATACTCTTCCACTGACAATCTAAGACCAAAGATATAAATATTGAGTATGTGTATATAAACAAATCAAATTGAGTTATTAGGTACTTCCTGAAACTATATATGAATAAAGCACCAATAGATGTGTTACCTTTGAGAACATTCCTTATTTCTGGATGATGTTCAGTTAGAGATAAGAAACTGAGTAGACAACCTCGAAAATGTGTATCATTCCAACCACAATTCCATTGGATTTCTTTCAGACCCAGTTCCGCAGTGATCTGTTTCTTCAACTTTGTTATTTCTTCTCTGTAAACAGCACCTTTCTCAGATTTATCTAAGGCATCCCTGTGATTAGTGATCAGAAAGTTTCTCAATTTCAAAGCTTCCTGTGCCTCCTTAATTTTTCTCTGCATCCTGACATGAGCAAAAATTGGATGATTATCATTTTCTTTGGTGAGATCAATTTCATTTTTATATTTCAGATTGGAATAATCAGGTTTTTCTATTTTAGGTGGTGGAATTATACTATCAACATAATCGGTAGGAAGACCACAGCTTTTCAGAATAGTAACTATTGTTGAACGTATATCTCGATCCTTTAAATGAATTTTAGTAAAACGAAAACTTGCTGTAAAAGGAACAGCGTAAAGCATGAATTTTCATTCTTTGGAATATATACCTGTTTTCTGAGTTTTATCTTTTACGTAAAAACTCAAACTAATTGGCCGAACAGGTCGCGAAGCCTGAATGTTCGTTAGGACTGAACTCAACTGTTGCAGAGATGATTCATTTATTGCCTGAAATGAGGAGCTTACAGTGAATACAGAAGAAATGAAAATCTCAATTTTGCAAATTTCGAAAACGCTTACTCTCTCATTTGGATACTGTCCAAATAAATCAGGATGAACGGAAAAATAAAAAGGTCTTAGAGCCGTAGATACTTCCGTAGAAGTAAGACCACGCAAACATACTTTAAAAATTGTATTTGCACTGCTACTGAAAAACAAATATTTAGAAGATATGTTCAAATAAAACATACAGTACATTACGAATTTTGCAAACTGCGTATCATTCTACTTTATTTTTATTCTGAATCTGAAGTACTGAAGTCTGTCAAATCAAATTCAAATAGTTTATCCTTGAAAAATTATTCTTCTTCTTTTGGCTTTTTTCCAGCTTCCAAATTTGGCGCTTATATGACTAGTAATCTTTTTATTACAGTGTTTCCTGTGAAAAAACATTGTCTTGGAAGCACAAAGAGTTTTGTTTTACACAATATCGTACACCGTTTGTTGGTTTACTTATTGGTATGTATTCCTTTTTGTCCTTCTCTGCACAATGTTCTTCCATGTGCTAGACTATTAGAACTTAGAAAGTTTTTCTCGCTCAAGGGTTATTATATTCTTATGAGCTCTTCGAATCTGATGCTGTTGTTTGTTTCCATAAAAATGCTATTATTCCTTTTTACTGACAGGTAAAACTGAAATCTCTGGCGTAGAATGAATCCACAACGATCACGAGAAACGCAACGCTCTTCTTATAATATTATCCAGATTTGGTGTTGGAGAGATAATAAGGCAACTGTCTTACGACGAAACATCAGATGTCCACCAGTAAGGCTGACAGTATTCCATGTAAGTGAAATTTGATCTCTTTCATTTGAAACTGATTAATACAGTTTATTGTATGCACAATGCAATAAACTGTATAAATTAGTTTTAATATGGATTTTCATCAAGTATCGGCCAGTTCTATTCGATCTTCCATTTACCATATTGTGTAGCAATCCCGTGAATAATATCTGATTCAATTCCATAACAAATGTATGGAATACAAACTGAACAGACAAAAGTGTTTTTTATATAATTCAGTGTTTATATGAAAGTATTTGTTTCGAAAGTATTTTTCTTTCGTGCAATTCAATGTTAATATGATGGCAGCTGTTACTAGAATTTGTGTCTGAAAGTAACTTCGCATGATCTACACATCTTTGTATTGGAGTTATTTTTTTAAATAGGCTGCTTCCTTCCTTTCTTTGGAAGATTTCTACTTTTTTGTATAAAGATGGAGAAGTAAACTTATATTGCAAATTAATAAGAACATACTTTGTATTGTACCATGTAACGACGTGTTGCTGTCTCCAGACACTTTTTCAAATTATCTATAATAATTTATATTTTTTATGGTAACCTGGATCTGGATACAAGTTACAAATTACAAACCGTCAATGATGTCATAATATGTAAATGAAAAGGTAGAGGAATAAGAACCAACCGAATTTTTATTTGAAGGTTTGTTTTTGATGCGAATTGTAATTGTAATTTGAATATATAGGAAAATTAATTTCATTCAGATTTATTTGTTACAGTGAAAAAGTCAATAATGTATCCTTCGTGTAGGACCTGTATGAAAGAAAATGCTGATATGAATTCGATTTTTGATCAACAAACTCCCCAGCAGCAAATATCGTTAAAAGTTATGTTAAAGTACTTTGCTTCAGTTGAGGTGAGTTTACTTTACTTTTGTAATTAAGTTGAGTGAGATGAAAAAAATGTTAAAATGGAAAACATTTTCCCACTCAATTAAAATACATTTCTTTCCAGATAGAACAGGAAGATGGTCTACCAGAAACTGTGTGTAAAACTTGCGAGGAGTTGATTTATTCCTCCTACAATTTCAAAAAATTGTGTGAGAAGTCAGATAAAAAGTTTAGAAAATCAAATGATTTTCAAAATCAAAATCCTATTCCTATAACACCTCGAGTTGATAAGACACATACTGAAAACAACAAGAATTTTTTGAACAGAATTATACAGTTCGATAATGTGCTTCTTCAAGGTAATTACAGATTTGTGTTGGAACTTTTAAAGGGGCCTAATTAATACATACTTTATATTTATGTATGATACACAGTGAAGAGGAAGATCCCTGTCTTCTATCAAAAATTAATTTGAATGTATCTGCTTATGAAACTAGATCATTTTGCACATTTTATATTGAATTGGCAAAGAACAAATTATTATCAAAATGCCCCATTAAATGCTATGTGCAATTCCTATAATAATGTACAAAATGACTGTGATATCTTCTTTCAAAATCTTACTAGTTTTAGAAATAGGTTGTATGAAATTGTATAACTCTTGTTGAATATTTTTTTTAT